TACACATGAGATAGCTAATGATAATAATTTAACTGGTTTTAATTTTACTATTTTTCTTATATTTTAAAATTAAAGTCAACTTAAAATATTCCACGATTACAATAAATTATGTTAATGATTTACTTAATAATCCAGTGGGTTGCACTGTGGGTCTTGTAGTAGGTGGACTTTCTAATGATGCTTCAACTCCTACGAAATAAAAAAAATTTCCGTAAACATAGCATAAATAATAATTTCTAAATCATGAAATAAAAAAAATTAGCTAAATTTGGACTGGACAGTTGACAACTGATCCATACCCAGCATGCTGCATGCATATTTTAGAATAGCAATCTGTACTTATTTGAATATATTTTGCAGTTGCATTGTAATATATAAAAGCAACAAAAGTTTTGCTCCTCAAAAAAGAAAGCACTATATGGTACCTTTCCAATAGCTTTTGTGACTAATTCACAAATTTGTGGAGTACATTCCTTAAAACCTCCTTAATATGTGTATAGCAAATTAGCGATTGGTGATATCTATGGTAAATATCAAATGACAAGTATCATAGTATCTGTAAGTTTCGATGCCTACTGGGATGAAGCTATGTTCACTTTGTTCTATAAAAAAGGTTTGGTCTTTTAAAATTATTGTGCTGCTATTTTTATTACTACTGCAAGTAATACGCAATTTTGGTTAATGTGTGTGTCTTTTGTGAACTTACTAGTTGTTGAGAAACTTTGGGTATTTCTTTCCACCATACTCTGAGCTACACTAGCCAAAACAATACTGACAGTAAAAAAAAATATAAATGATAAAGCCCATTTCCAGCTAAAAATAAAGATTAGAGCATACTATGGTGGAGTACGTTTTACTTGAAGTGCTTAGCAGGTCTTGAGTTGTTTTGAGGCACCTCTTCTTGATATTTGATTCTACCTGTACAAAAAGAAGGCATATCATATAGCACTATCAAAAGTGCATAATGTATAATTTCATTAAACTTGATAAACTGATAGTTAATTACTAACCTGGACTAGGTAATTTATGATCACTAAACCAACATCTATAGCTATCATCACTTCGTAGTACATCACATGATACTTCACAATTAGTACACCAGGTAGAAGATTTATCTTCCTCAACAATGCAAGTTTTTTGGAGGGGGCATTTAAAAGCAAAGACAAGCTTATTATCTTCCTGAAGTTTGAGATCTTTACTGCTTTCTTTTACAGCTTTTGAGACTAGTTCACGAATTTGTGGACAAATGTCCCTACAATGACCACGAACACGTATTTCAAGACGAGTATAACAATTGATGATATCAATGTAGTATTTTTTATAAACACGAAGTGTCATTGCATCATGATATTTA